TATATATATATATAAATGGCATCTCAACTATTTGGCTGCGATTCCTATTTTTCAAAAAGTGGGTGGGTTGTGAAACAAAAGCTTATTCTGACCTTTTCCCAATGCAGAGCCCTCGTCCAGCCGGGCATCACTCAACTTTCAGGACTACGTGCTGTCCCGGCCGCCGCTCAGCCACTCTCACCTCCACTTCTCGCCGCTGGAGTCCTCGTCGCCGGGGCTGGGCAGCGCCAGCTGCCTTTTCTCGCAGCCCTCCACCTCCTCGGCACCGGGGCCCTTCTCCACCGGCTTCTCTCTGGTCAAGGAGATCAAGGACAACTTGTCGCAGCACGAGGATGACAACATCTCCACCACCAGCGGCTTCTCCTCGCGAGCCTCCGACAAAGGTACGCTAATAGGAAAAGTAGTAAAAGTCCTTGCTCGTAGAGAAGATGCACCCACTTTTTTTTTTTTTAAATTTATGAATGTATTTTTCGTGTTTTATCTTTTCATGGGGATAACACTGAAGAATTAACACTTGACTACAATGCAGTCGGTGTACAACTTGTATTACAGTCTAAATCTACTCCCCACATAGCAGTTCATGTCTAAACTGCCGGCAACAAAATTGAGTATGCCTTTAAATGAAAATGTGCAACCTGTTTCGAGTTAAACCTGTCCTGTATGGTCTTAAGTACTACGCCGCAGCTCATTTTCAGGGTCTTTATGTGGGGTGTCAATTTTTTGTCCTTCTCTCTTATCACACCGAGATCATCGGAGAATTCTTTGCCGCAAGGTGCCATATTTAATTTCCAGTGAAAGTATGAAAGAGTTTGAGAGCGATACCACTACATTTAATACACTGTCTCCTCATGTATAACCCGAGACTTTGTAATACTCAGTTATATTAAACCAGAGAGGAAAATGTCTAATGGGGCCCAAATTGGACACTTTCACTTTTGGGTGTGTTCTTTTGTTGCCGGCAGATGAGACATGAATGGTTCTGTTGTGTTATTTTGAGGGGACAGTACATTTTTTCCCCTGACAATGCTTATTAAAGTCGACCAAAATATGAGTGGTGGTGGTGGTGTTATTTTTCAATGAGGTACTGTAGCTAAGTGTTGTTCTATCTTGCAGACGTGCCCACATCCAAGGCCGCGTCGGTTCCGCAGCTTTGGTCGCCAGACGCAGACAGAAGCATCTCTGTGCCGCAGCCTTCTCAGTCAAGTCTGAAAAGGCCTGCCTTCAACCTGTCTGTCTTTGGCACGTCCGCCAATGTGAGTGTTTCAGGCCATTTGCTCAAGTCAAGTTGAGTACAACTTTATTGTCAAACGTGCAGCACAGATGAAATTTCTTCCCTCTCAAGACAACATAAAACAAAGAGGAGCCGCTGCGGGTGCCCGCCCTGCCATCAAAAGAAAAGTTAACATAAAATGACAAAATAATACAAGACAACACATTAGACACAGACACTCGTGCAATCTTAACCACTTTCCTGCATACACTTTGTTGTCTGAAGCAGTTATCGATGAAAAGAGGAGCGAATCAAAGTGTCCTTTTAACCAGCGGATCAAAGACGTCATGCTGCAATGTGCACATGTCTGCTACAAGCTAAGCTTGAAAGCGACAAGAAGCTGTAGCATCCATTAACGAAAAAGAGAGATTGTCTCTCTTCTCCTGTCCCATGTAAATCCGCTTCAATTCCAAGCCGCGACTCCCAGTTCCACATACGCATCGGCGCTCTGCGCTGACGCTCCTTTCTTCTCATCGTCGGCTCCTCAAGCCACGCATCCATCCAGCCGCAGACTGTCCACAACAGCACCGACCTTTCCGCTGAACAAAGCGGAGTTGTGAAAATGCTGCCCATTACAGGCGCAAAACACACCCCCAGTCAGAAGCAGATACCTGAGAGAGATGGACTATACAATTATTATTACTTTTTTAATGCCATTTAATACGGGGCGATCGAGGTACTGTGGTGTGAGGGCCTGATCATCTCTGTCTCTAGCTGTCATTGTAAGAATAATTACTACATGTCAGTAATGCCACTTGAATGCTGCCTCTCTAGTCGACGCTGAACAGCACAGTGCTGAATTCCAGCCAGCTGGGAGATTCGCCCTTTTACCCCGGGAAGACCTCCTATGGCGGAGCGGCCGCCGTCAGGAGCGCTCACACGCGCCCCGGGACGCCGTACCAGGTGAGCCTGCGAGGAACCACGCCGGGTCCCGCAAAGCTGCTGACTGTTATTCAGAGTGTTTACCAACCCTAAAGCTTCTTTTTGATTTGATATGCAGTTATTAGCGACATCATTAAGTACACCCACTTAACTCATTCAGTACCAGCCAATTCTGGACCAAGTCTGAAAAGACGTTTAAAAACGTCTTTGGGAGTGAATGAGTTAAACAGATTTAAAATACAAATAAAAATACAAATCATTAATTGTATTTAAAAAAAATATATGCCTAGATATATTCATGTCTGGGTCGGGCGGGGTGCAAGCCCGACTTCGCGGATTTTCGTCTATCGCGGGTGGTCTTGGACCCCATTAACCGCGATAAGTGAGGGATCACTGGACCCTCAAAGCCACCGATAGTTAAAAATTCCAACCCCGACTCCGTCCCCATCTCTCATAGTGGATTAAAATCATCAAATGATACGTGACTGCTATATTTCAGACATTGGCATCAGATGCCACTGAGGTGTTTTACAATACCGTCCTTGACGAGCCGGTGCGATCTTTCAGGCACCGCTGAGAAGGCAGATTAAAGCCAAGCCGGCCGGCGCGCACCCCTGCGGGGTGACCAGCGCCACAGCCCGACGCATCCTGCAGTCTTTGGAGCGCATGTCCAGTCCTCTTGCAGTACGAACACACATATTAACAAAGAGATTGAGAAATTGCGTTTCAAATGCCTCTCTAATTCGATTTTTCATCTCCAGGATGCCAAGAGGATTCCAGCAGCAACATTACCCTGCGCAATGGTAAATTTGAGTGGTTGCCATTTTTTTTCTGGGTCACTGTTCATCTCTGCAGAAATTTATACTTTAAGGAACTGTTTTTTGGGGGGGTATTGGGGGTTTATGTGTACATTTATTGTACAAAAGATATGAATACACATGGAAGGTTGTCATGTGTTTTTATTTTTTTTGCCTTTGTTTGCAGTCGATGGAGGGCGGCAATCTTGATGGGTCTCATTTGCCATCCAAAAAGAAACGGGTAAGTGATTTCATTTTTGACCCCATGCAATATTCATCCAACCCGATGAGTTTCGGCGTCTCGGCTCGGGAAGGGGAGTTGATGATGTGGGGCCCGGCTGCGAGCGTCTGTGGTAACAGCTGGCAGACGATGCCAGCTGTGCGACAGCTGTGCCACTCTCCAACAACAGCAGCGTATTGACTGACACACACCCACAGCTGTGGCCTGTTGCTTTGCCACTGTAATCTGTTGATAACGTTACTTGAGATCTTAACACATTGGAGGGGGGGGGAAACAAACAAAAAAAAATATATACTGTTTGTATATTCTTTGACTTCGAGAGCAGTTTTTTGTTGCTACTGAATCTCACATTCACAAAATCCTCATTCCTTGTTTCTTTTCCTCAGCGAGATTCCAGTCACCCGCCAGTGCAGAAACTGGTGGTCCCTGCCGCCATTTCCATTTCTGCCTCGGCGAACCGCGCCGTCTCCTTCAGGCCCAGTTTGACCCCAGGCGGGCCCGGCCGGAATCTGGACCATCTGCCCAGAGACAAGGTCAGCTCTTTCTGACACCGGAATGACCGCCAAGTCTTCTCACCAATGCTGATTTTGGCGGCATTTGTTTCCACAGCCCGCCAGACAATCACCTCTACTACCTGACAGAAGCCCAGGAGGCCCTTCTCAAAGCACAATTGGGTCCAGCGGCGCCACCTACCCCATGTCCAGCACGCCTGCTCCCAGCAGCTCTGGAGGCGGCAAGATGAAGACCGAGCGGAAGACTGCACGGCCGTCCTCCAAGCGCACTGAGGACGACAAGGTACGCAGTAGAGGTGTCCAAATGAATTGATTGTCAAAATAATCCAAAACTATTTTCATAATGGAGCAATCGTTTCGGGCCATTGTTGGATTGAAAACGATCCAAATCCTCTGATTTCAGCCTTTCAGTCTTTTTTTCTTTATGAAAGTGGAGCAATTCTCTTTTTGTTTCACCAAAATTGGACATTTCTGCTTTCTTTTACTTCAAGAAAACAATGACCACTCCAGTCACTGAACATGTTTCAGAAAGGTTGGTGACTTGAATGCAAAATTAAATGTGGTTTGTTGTTAAACTTTTTATTGATTTTTTTTTTGGGGGGGGGGCAGAAAGAAGAAGAAGAAAAAAACATGGTCACATGTTTAAATACATGGAGCATCATCAATTCCGGGCATGAAAATAGAGAACAGGTTACAATTCCTGCGCTTTCACAAATACAATGTCCTGAACACAGTTTCATGCAAGGGGGGGAAAAAAAATCAACAGAACAGCAACTTGATTGGAATGAGGCCAATAAGGTGTATTAACTATTTCTTTGAGCACTACCCTAGGTTACCGTGGACGTGATCCAGATGTCCCATAATCCATCAAATTTCTCTCGCTCGTTTTCAGATTGTCAACGTAAAGTCCTCCATTTCAAAAATTTCCCCCAACCACCTTAATCCAGTCTTTGACTGTTTGGGGGAAGGGGGGAGGATCTTTTGACAACCATCTTCTTGTGATAGCTTTTTTTTTTCTTTTCTTCCCAAGTACAAGTATGGGCTATTATCTTTGTGTTGCTTTAATATTCAATTCCACATCTTAATTGAATTCTTTAGCCAACACTTTTAAGACAATCGAACCCGGTACCGTTGCACTGTGAGGTTGACCCCCTCACCACTGGTCCACCAGACCGCCCTCTTTTCTAGATTATATGTAGATATAGATATTCAACGTAGTATATATGTTTTTTCTTTATCCCCCTCCCATCAGGTGGCTGAGCTCCCAGACCTTCGACCGATTTCACTTCCCATCAGCACGTCTGCCTTGCCCACCTTCAGCTTCTCCTCCCCGCTGCCCCCCGCCACTGCCTCCAGCGTCACCTCTGTCAAGGAAATCGCCATGAACAAGGTCCGTCCCTTTTTTTTTTAATTTTTTTTTTTTTTATGAAATGTCTTCGCTCGAGTTTCGACGCGGTCCCGAAATACAGCTTGTTTCTCTCTCTCTCTCCTTCCTCCTTCCTTAGGCGACACCCGTTTCACCCTCCTGTGTCATACCCTTTACCTTCTCCTCGCCCATTGTCAAAGCGACCCCTGCTAGTCCTCCTAATTTCTCCCCGACAGTAAGTGCTCATTTGCCACTTGAAATTGACAAAGAAACCAAAAAATACCTGATGTTCACATTCTTCATTGTATATCAGGGGTGTCAAACTCATTTTTATCGCGGGCCACATTGTAGTTACGGTTTCCCTTGGAGGACCGTTTTGAATTTTGGGAAACCATACACAGTCAAACCTCAGTTTTCGAACGTCTCCGTTCTCGACCAAATCGGTTTTCAACCCAAAAATTCAATTTTTTTTATGCCTCGGATTACGACCGAAAATCGGTTCTCGACCAAACTGAGCGCACTTGAATGCGCCACTTGACTCCTCTCGCCTTCCTAACACGAGGAAGTGACGCTTCCTCGGGTAGACGAGGAAGTGACGCTTCCTCGGGTAGACGAGGACGTGGCGCTTCCTCGTGTAGTGTTCCATTGTGAGCAGACGTGTTCAATAAAGGTTTTTTTTTTAAAAAAGAGCGTGGTTTCAGTTTTCGAACAAATTGGTTTTCGAACAGCCTTCTCAAACGGATTATGGTCGAAAACCGGGGTATGACTGTAAATGTTTGAACACCTCCACATATTACATATACAGCGCACAACAAATTGAGGGATAACTAGTTTTAAAATCAGAAGTCAAGAATAATGACTGTTTTTGTGGATTACATGTGACAATTTCAAATTTTGGTTCAGACTTTAGCAAGCATCATGGAACGTGATTTGCTTTCGCGGACCACATAAAATGATGTGGCGGGCCAGATATGGCCCCCGGGCTTTGACTTTGACACCAGTGTTGTATGTGATCCTTTTTTTTTTTTTTTTTCTTCTTTCTTTCTTCTCAGGCTGGCTTTACATTCAGTGCCCCTGTAACAAAAATCGGTCCTTCCATGTCAAATGGGAAGCTGGCCACACCCATAGCATCACCAGGTAAACCTTTTTATTTTCAGTCGATTTTAGGGCGAAACTTGGATGTGCTAATTGTGTTTTGATCATCCTAGCATGTGTTTTATTATGATTTGTTAATTTTTTAATCCTTTCCAAGTGAAAATATCGACAAACGCAAGCACAGAAGACTTTGACGGACCTTTCAAACCAGCCAAGACACTGAAGCAGGGCAGCGTGCTGGACCTCCTCAAGACCCCCGGTAAGAAGCGCTGACGTACGGCGCATTTCCGCTGGCGTCTTATTCAGAGGAGGCCTCTACGTGTACGCATTTTTAGAATGGAAACGCACAACCTTGTGGGGCGACCACATCAGGCACCACTTGCTTTCTCATCACTTAAGACTCTGATTCAACAAACATAATTGTGTTTAACACTCCTCAGTGGGCGCTGCTGTTTTGGTTCGCACCAGTGTTGGAATTGGCTCTCCAGTTAACTAATGTCGTGCGTGAGCGGAAATGACGTTAGCTTCTGGTGTGTGTGTGGGGGGGGGGGGTTGTTTGACGCACCAAATGACGATTACTGGTCTTTTTGAGGCAGTACATTGCTGGTTATTGTTCATGGATTGATTTTTTATTTTTATTTATTTTTTTTAATCTCATCACTTGTTCAGGCTTTGCTTCAACGACCGTGCAAAAGTCACCCGAGACTTCCACACAGTCCTCTGCCCATTCCTCCTCCTCCTCCACCGCATCCTCCACATCCTCCTCTACAGCCCTTAGTGACTTTTTCAAAGCCCCAGCCGGGTGGAGCTGCAACGTTTGCTTGGTGCAAAACAAGCCGTCGGATACAAAGTGCGTGTGCTGCATGGCCCCTCAGCCTGCCGCCACAACCAAGGACAATAAAACAACGGCCCCGGCACTTTCGGAGGCAAAAAGCAGCACAAACAGCACCTCCGTCGGGTCGCCCTTCTTCAAATCGGCGCCAACTTGGGAGTGCGACACGTGTCTGGTCTTCAACAAGCCCGAAGCCGTCAAGTGTGTAGCCTGCGAGACTGCCAAGCCTGGCACGGGGCTCAAAGCCTCGTCCTCTCTGCCCTCCGCCTTCTCCGCCGTTAAGAGGGCGGCCAGCCCCGCTCCCGTCGCCTCCACGACGCCACTTGCAGGATTTGAAGACAAGCGCAAGAAACCAGACGGCGCTTCGGACGGCGACATTAGTGTGGTACAGAACAAGGCCGCCGATACGGACCCTAAACCAGGTAGGCGCAGCTACTGAATGTTGTCTTGAAATCGTTTTTGGAACGTGTGCCACTCTTGATGATTTACGAAACGTTTTGGACATGCGATGAACGGAATAAGGACCGAACCCTCATGCAAATGAGGATTTTGTAATTGGGTGTGGATGTCACAAGATGGCGGCAAGCCACTTAGCAGAGAGGGTCGAAAAGGTTCACCACCATGCTCCTTGTATGTACACATAATGTCAAAGTAATACATTAGTTTGGCCTGACTGCAAAACGGCGAATATTTAAAAAGCTAAATCTGCAAAAATGCACATTTGCGCCTCCCTAACCACGATGATCTATTTTCCCTCTCAGGAGCATCTGCGGGAGCCCCCACTGCCGCCAGCAGCACGTTATCGTTCAGCTTTGGGGACAAGTTGAAGAAGCCCGAGAACTCCTGGGACTGCGACGTGTGTCTGCTGCAAAACAAGGCCGCCAACGTCAAGTGCGTCGCTTGTCAGGCAGCCAAGCCTGGAACGCCGGCGGAGCTCCAAGGATCTTCGACTACCTCTGCTTCTGGAGGTTTCACATTTGGCACAACCAACAGTACCTCAGAGTCTACATCTGGAGGGTTCAAGTTTGGTGTGGCCTCGTCGGAATCCTCCTCCTCCTCATTGGGAGGATTCAAGTTCGGCATCCCATTCGGAAACGGCTCGTCAGAAGCCCCCGCGAAAGACGGTAATACCTCACTAGGCTTCAAGTTCAGCGCCTCGTCCGAGGGCTTAAAATTCGGGATTGCCCCCGGCGATGACAAAAAGCCGGAGCAGCTTGCGGCCCCTGCTGGCTTCAAGTTCGGATCCAGCGGCGAGATCTCGTTGGCGGCGGGATCATCAAGCACGGAAAGTAGCAGCTCCTCCAAAACGTCCTTCAGCTTTGGCCTTTCCAAACCCGAGGACAAAACGTTAGAAGACGCCGCCACCTCGTCGTCGTCTGTTGCCATCACCGCGCCCGCTTCCTCTCACGAGAAGAGCAGCGGCAATGATGGCGCGGCAACAGACGCCGCCGCCGCCTCCTCTGTGTTTGGGACGCCCACCCTTGCCACCTCCACACCACCCGGGGGCCCAACCTTTGGCTCGCTACCAGCCGAGAAGAAACCCGCCGCCCCCACATTCACATTCGGGAAGCCGGAAGAGGAGAAGAAGGAGGCACCCGCCACCTCCACTCCGTCTGCCTTCCTCTTTGGCAGCGCGAGTAAGGACGCCGACCCCGCGCCTGTGATCTCGGGAGGCTTTTCCTTCGGCAAGCCGAGCGTGCCGGCGGAGCAGCCGCAGCAGCCGGCGCCGCCAGCGCTGCCTCCTTTTACTTTTGGAAAAGCAGATGACAAGAACGACGCCTCGAATTCAAAAGCGGCAAATTCCTCTTTTGTATTTGGACAAAGTGCTCCAGGTATTTTATTTGTATTCACACACAGAAATAACAAAAGCTTGTCACTTACACTCCACCCCAAAAACCCCCCCAAAAAACACACACATGCGTTGCCGTCAGTCTTTTTTGTTGTCGCTGATCCACATGACATGAGCTAATCAATACACAATCATTCTATTGCTCTCCCAACAGCTTCCGATGCCTCCAAAATGCCGTTCTTCTTCATGGGAAGCAACGCCAGCACGACCAGCAGCTCCTCGTCCACCCCGTCCTCCAGTCTATTTGGCAGCAGCACGCAGGCCCTCGCTCCCGCACCTGCCGCAACTCCCAGCACTTTCATGTTCGGCCTACCCGCTGCCGCCGCCGCCGCCCCGGCGGCTAGCGACGCCCCCCCGGCCAAAGCCTTCGTCTTCGGGCAAAGCCAGGACACCCCGTCGGCCGCCCCCGTCAACTCGGCCCCGCCTCAAACCGCGCAACCCTTCATTTTCGGCGTGGCCGCCAATCCTGCGGCACCTCCTGCGCCTTCCATCAACTTTGGCGCTTCGGCGCCGTCTGCTACCTCCTCTCCAGGTGTGTATCTTCAGCCCACCTCTCTTGAAATAGGTCTATTACAATGTACACGACTCAAGAAAAGTTCAACGTGTTGGGCTTTCGGGTAGGGCTGAACGAATAATCGTATTCAAATCGAGCGTTCATTAGAAAATACACGTTAAGAATCTTGAAAAGAATAATCGCATATGAAATCGCACACGCGGTATTGAGGAAACTAAATCACAATTGGATTAAGATTTCAAGATGGTTCAGCCCTACTCTCGGGTGACATTTCTGGATGAACCTCGAACGTACTATAACCTTCGTTCCCCAAATTAATTTGACCTTCTGTAAACCTTTTGAAAGAACATGTCCAACTGTTGAATAATTCTTCCTCCCCATCCACAGCTCCCAACCCCTTCCTTGTCAGCTCCTCCAACGCCGCAGATTTCGGAGCCAATCAGACGCCGGCATTCGGCTCGTCTTTCAGCTCGCCGTTCCCGTCGGCCGCTTCCCAGACCCCCGCGTTCGGCGCCAAGCCCGCCGCCGCCGCACCCGTCTTCGGCCAGCAGGCCAACTCCACCCCCGCCTTCGGCGGCGCCACCGCAAACTCGGCACAAGGTCCGAACCGGTCCTGGTAACCATTTCCATCTTAGCTTGTAGAACGCTTTGAAGACGTTTTGTGTTCTTTAGGTGGAGGCTTTCAGTTCGGAGGAGCCAGCGCGTTCGGGTCCACCAACAGCACAGGAGTTTTCAATTTTGGAGCGGGGGCAGCGGCATCTCCCGCCCCGGCTGCCTCTAGTGGCGGCGGGTTCAACTTTTCACAGCCCCTCTCTTTCAACATCGGGTACGTGACCACTGTGTGCAGTAATGTCGCGTACAATGTATATCGTGCATTGTAACAAGTCGATGGTACACGATTACATTATTAGATGTACTATACCTCACAGCTAGCTCTTATTGTTCCAGTGTGATTGATTTATACTTCAATATATTATTAGCTTGGTTTGCCTGAAATTCTTTTTTGTTTTAATACCCAAATCCAATTGCAAATGTCAATGTTTTTCCCCCTTTGCTATTTTTATTTATTTTACTTTTTTTTACAAATTCTTCACCCTCTCTGGATTAGTAAAGTTATCCATCTATCTTCCAGATCATCCAAATCCTTTACGTCATCGCCCGCCGGGCAGCAAACAATTGCCGGGCGCAAGATCAAGACGGCAGTGCGGCGCCGGAAATAGACGGATGCCACTTGGACAGACGACTGATTCAGGAATTAAGCGCTCAACTTGGACTGAAATCTTTTTTTTTTGTTTTGTTTTTTTTGGGGGGGGGGCGCGGGGCAATTGGCGCTCTGACAGAACACTTGACAACAATCAGACGCCAATGGACATCTCTCTATTTTCTGCTCGACCCAAGGCTTTTTTTTTTTTTTTTTTGTAATAAAATGACAAAAACAAACTGCTCTCTGCAGAATCCCGTTGATTTAAAGTACGAGTGAAGACTTTGTAGTGCTGTAACATGCGGAGCACTACAGGTAGCTGTAGCGCCGCGCGCTGTATGTACAGAGATAGACGTGCTTGTTGCTCCCCGCCCCCCTTCAGTTCCCTAATGTATAGACTGGAAGCGTGCGTGTGTGTCTGTGTGTGCTCGCGTGGAGGTAGGAGAAATGAGCAAATGAATGTTTCTTAACAAAATGGAGAGTGTGGACAGACAGGCGATCAACGGGGAAGGACGGAGGGTAGAAGTGTGTACCATGCACTGCGGAGAATGACGCTTAAATCCTTAGGACTTTGTAAATGCATACTTTTCATGTTACATGTCTTTGGGCCGCTGTGGTTCTTTTTCTCCTGTCCCCTTTCTTGCTTCCATGCTCCCATTTCTCTCTCTCTCTCTCTCTCTCTCTCTCTCTCTCTCTCTCTCTCTCTCTCTCTCTCTCTTGCTCAATTGGCCTTTGAATATCATAAAAATGTAAATAGTGATTTTTTTTTTTTAATCAGTGAAGATTTTTTTTTGTTTGTGTTATCAACTCTGCATCCACCTTTTTTGTCGTTACAATTTATTGTGTAAATTCCTATATTCAAAGTTTCCCAACTCCATTTAAAATGACCTTAAATGCAAATTAGAGAGCCTTTGATGACTAAAGGCATATTGGCTTTTCTGATCCACTTTTGTTTGGACCAAAACCAGTACTGTACAAAGTATTAAGTATATATTTTTCTATTGCGTGTTTAAATGGACGAGGGTGACTTTGGATGATAGGGAAAAAGTCAAGTTTAATTTTAAAGCCATGATTATCATTACTACCGGATGAGTGATAAAAACATAAACATGGTTCGTTACCATCAATAAAACTATAAAAGGTATGGTTTAATTTCTGTTTTCCTTTTTTGGTTGCTATCAATGTTAGGGCAGCGAGACTAAAATGGATGGTTGTTATCTTTCGTTGGAATCAGAGTTAAGCATTTGAAAAGTCATGTTTTTGTATTGCTGTTACTTTTAGAGTAAAACCCCTCAAAGTTGGTTTGTTTGTGCTGAAATAAAAAAAAATCTTGAGGTTTCTGTACACAATTAATTGGTTAACTTAATTGTAGAGAACAACGTCCCTAAAATGTATATTAGGTGCAACATCTTGTCGAAAACAAATTTAAAAAATGGACGTTGCTCGTTAGATGGCCGATGCAAAATGGCGGCCGATAGCAACCTAGTATTGAACGTTAAATGTGGATACTTGAGTTATGTGCTGCTCTTCTGTGAATAAGTAACCTCTGTGCTCTGGGGGTGCTTTACTTATTTATTTAGTTTTGTAACTGTGGACGGCCAGTTATCATGACTCCCATGTGCGGTGCGTCTTTCCCCTGAGCGACTCCAATTGAAGCGGGTCAGATTTATTGTAGCAACCGGACTTAGCAACGCGAAGCTCTTCAAGCTCTGCGTGGGGTCTGCGTGAAGGAATGTCGCCGTGAACGGGCACTTTTCAACTCCCCAGCTCACGAGAGCAGAAGAAACTGAAGTGTCACTAAAGCAAACTTGTGTCACGTCCATGGACTCTTGAAGCGGATCCCATGGGATGCGGCAGCTCCAGCACCACCGCGGTGGTTCAGCCTTTACCACCCGCGGATGAGGTAGGCAGAGAGAATTTTGTCTGTTCCTCTGTGGCATTTGGGAATAAACTTCATTTTGCAAGCCACGTGAATACATATTTAAAAAAAGAAAAAGAACCGTGGAGGCACAAAACTTGGACCGGCACACCGCAAAAGTGAAATTATATATCGCTGGTGTTGTGTGGAAGCCTTTTATTTCCAAAACTTTTTTTTTTTTTAAACAAAAATCCGATAGATTAATGCTATCATGCAATGCCAAAGGTAATACTCGGGCTAACAGAAATTAGCATCGATTTTACAGTAATTCTAAACTTTCAAATATGTGCTACTTAACACAAATGGAGCAGCAACACATACAAACAAACAGTTTTCGTTACGTCGGACAGAGAAAATTTGAGTAGGTATAGGTTGACAGTATTCTGTCTCCAGAATGATCCGGGAAGCAAATGCGACCGTGGTGACTCGGCCGTCTCCAAGCTGACAGAAGACAGTGGCGTGGTGGTGGCAGCGACGATGGAGAATGGCGAGCCGATACCTGATGGGGCATTACCCGGCGAGGCATCCCTGAAGCCCCCCGGCTTATTAGGGAAGCAGCTCTTGATGCAAGAGCGTGCCACGTCTAGGGATATCCTGGAAGAGCTGCAGAATGAGGGGATCATCCCGATGAGCCCCAGCCGCGAGACGGCCACCGGGAAGGCTTACACCATCTTCGTGAGTATACGTGGGGTAGTGCCCTGCTAGACCAGGCAAAATGGTTTACAAGGAGGTTTTTTTTTTTGTGTGTGTGGGGGGGGGGGGTAGTAATTTCCTGAGTGTATTTATGATTAGTGCCTGATCAGTATCCTTCATTTGTGATGTGATGCACCTGACCAAATTATGACATCTGCCTGGAGCGACAGCTGAAACTTTGTTTTTCCTGGCTTACTCTTAAAGAAATTATGAGGGGAAAAATTTTAAATTGTGAAATAAATTGAGCTTCTGAGGAAAGAAGTAATATTGAACTATTACAGTTTAATGTATCTCAATGTGTAAATGTCATGCTTTCATTTTTCCCCCTTGTAATGTGTGTGATTTACAAAATACTTTGAAGACCACAATTTTGAAAAACAGATTAAAGGAGGTAATTCGAGAGGAATTTAGGTTGATTACTAAAATAAAATGAGATTATGAGATATCAAGTCATATTTGCAGTCTAAAAAAAGTTTCTGTTTATTAAAGCTTTTGTCATTGCAAAAAAATGGGAGTTTTCTTTGTGTGAATCATACCACACCACCGCAGCATTTAATTAAATTTTATTGGATTTTTTTTTGTATTGAAAAAGAATTTATATTTTTATGGCTTTAAGAGTATTTCATTTTCCTTTCATTAAAAAATTGATTTGGTTTTTATTAGTTTCATTTTACATTTTTGAATTGTAATTCATTGGGGCTATTTTCTGATTTATATCACTAAATATGTATATTCAATTCATTAAATGTTATGAAGATAATTACATTTGTATTCTTTTTATTGCATTTGTATTTATTTTTTTAAATTAATTTTCTTTTTAAGCCATGCATTATAATGTCTGTAGTTTTTCCAGTACAGATGGTAATTTGTGTGCGCGTGTGTGTGTTAGCTGGATGACAGCGAGGGTATCAGACGCCGACCCCCCGCCAGACTGGAGTCCCTCAGGGTCAAACGTCTGCCAAGCAAGGAGAAGATGGAGGAGAAGATGAGGCTCGCCGACGAGAGACGCAAGGTTCCGTCGCGCCGACTGACAGTTGCAAATAACAGTCTGCTACCTCAAAACATTTTTCCCTATCACATAAACTTAGCATTTGAACAGGGATGTGTAGACCTTTTATAACTACTTTTGTAAATTTGCTTGCAATAACTTCTCCAAAATGTTTTTGCTTCTTTCAGTCGCGGGAAGACGAGCTGACGGCCCGTTTGCGGAGCAAGTCAGCCCGCATCCAGCGAGCCGCCGTGTTCGTGCCGGAGACTGGCGAGCGCAAGCGATGTGCGCACTCGCCTCCCGACATCGACCAGCGTACACCCGACGAAGGTGAGCGGGTGGCAGATGAGCACCGTGACGATGAGGAGTCCTGGCTGGTGGAAGCTGAGTTGGTCTCGGCTTGAGGGTAGCTGGAGAGCGTCTCTGGCTTCCGGCAGGGAGAACGAGAGGCCCACAAAGAGATCTTTTAACCAATTAGACGAGGTGAGGACGCCAACATTTTTCTGCTTTCACACATCAAAGTCCACCAAAGTTATTTTTATTTGATTTGTTTTTTTGCACTTGAAGACCTTTAAAAGCATGACTTAAGACCAGATAGAGTTTTTTAGTGATTTTCTTTTCTTTCGTATAGAAGCAAATGATCTGTTCTTTGTATATAAAACACAAATTATATTTAATAAAACTGTATTTCATTTAGTTCTGGTGTCGTGTTTTTATTTCTTTTTTTATTCTTTTTTTCATTTTATATTTATATTTATTTAATCTAGATCTATTTTATTGAATTTGCATTGTATGAATGTTCTTATTGAAGTCAGTTTTATATATACAGTATTTTATTACATTCTATTGAATTTTATTTGATTTGATCGCATTGTATTGTTTTTAATTGTAATTTTAATAGTTTTTTTTCCCTTTGGTTCAATTTTTATTTTTTATATTTTCCTTTTTTATATTGATCCATTTGGTTTCTTTTTATTTCACTTTTTAAAATGTTTGTTTTATGACATTTCAATGTATTGGATTTGATTTGCTTTTTCAAAACCTTTTTTCTTGTATTTGATTGTTTTTCACTGGCTTTTTAAATCTTTTAATTTGAATGGTTTTATAGTTTTTAAAATATAATTTATCTATATTCATTGCATTTGATTTCCTTTTGATTTCCTTCAATTCAACAAAACGTTTTTCCTGTAGGTCTGTTTCCTGTCCTACGCTTTCGTCACATTTTTTGTGGTGACGTCACCCAAACAAGTTCAGCCACCGACCCCGGTACCGTTTCTCGCCCAGCCAAAGTCTCACGAGATTTGCTGACATCTCAAGTGACGATGGCATGTCATTAGTTAAGTGGGCCACAAGATGGCGCTGTTTCCTCTGCGTAACTACAGTGCAGTTTGAAGGGGAACCGTTAATTCTTGAACAAATACAACACAACGATAATGTTTCTGATCGTTATTATTTACCAAGAGCATATTTTGCAAAATGTCACGTAACATGTCTGACTTTAACCTCCAAAATGGCTTCACGCGACAGCACCTGCTTGCTCAGCTTGTTTGTGGGCCGACCCAGAGGAGGAGTTGTGGGCTGAACTTTTTTTGTTTTTCTTTTTTTTTTTTTTTTTTTAGGAATTGGCTCCCTGTGAGTGAGAGAGGGCATTCACTTCGAGGCACCAGCAAGGAGAAGAAGACGAGCAGTCCTCATGCTGATGCACAAGCCCCCTGACCACCACCACGTCCATCTACCTCCAGGCTGGAACTCCCTCCTCCACCTCCACCTCCTCCTCCTCCTCTCTCCTCCACCAAACACTCAAGACACTTTGCACTAACTTTTTGCTTTTGTATTGTTTTTATCATTTACCCTCTTTTTATAATCATTATTAACGATGCACACCACGCAAAAGGACACCACCTACACCAAGATCTTCGTCGGGGGGCTGCCCTACCACACCACCGACTCCAGTCTCAGGAAGTACTTTGAGGTGTTTGGCGAGATCGAGGAGGCGGTGGTCATCACTGACAGGCAGACCGGCAAGTCTCGGGGCTATGGATTTGTGAGTACGCTAATCCCATTTAATCACAAGAAGTGACGGTGATTGCAAAAAAAAAAGGGCTACATCCGAGATTTTCGCTTGTGTGCTAAGCAGATGATTATCAAGTACCTACACAGTCTCAAAATCTCAAAACATCGTCAAGTCTTTATTATTAACTTTACAGGTGAACATTTTAAACTTTGCTATAAGTGCAGGGAAGGTAGTAAAAGTACCCAGCCTTTGTGTTAGTTGGGCCCAAAACGAAATGGGTACTTCCTTGGTCCTCATCAAGCTTTGGTGGCGTTTTTTGAACTGTTTTTGTGGTGTAATTCTGATGAATAAGACTTAATGAAGGTGTCCAATGGAACGCATGTATCACAACATTATTCTTTGCGAGTATTGATTGTGTTTGTATGGTTTCAGTGAAATGAATATTCTTCCTTAGACGATATAATCAATGTTAATATATTTTCTGAAACGTGAAAATATTTCCATAGTTTTTTTAAAAATTAAAATTAAAATCATTGTAATGATTGACATGACAAGTCATGTAGTTGTTTTTAAATCTAAAAAAATATCAGGAGGTATTTGTATGTACATGGTTTTCGTTGGCACAAAAATAAAACTCAAAAAACCCCCACAAAATAACAAGTTGCAATTGTACAGCACCATCGAGCAAAGTATGACCTTGAAAAAAAGTTCAAATTAACAAAACAATACTCTCAAGTCTTATGTTAAATCTAAAAAAAAAAACTAAACAAAGAAACTACCGGTAGGTTATATTGTGAGGGTTAATGCTAACACGTGCTAATTGCAGCACAAGAGGGCAAACTGCATGCTGATGCTCAGCTAGAATCAACACGGACAGCCTCACATCCATAGATAAGCTAGTTTTGCTCCCTCTTCATTGTTCAGTGGGCGTTGCGAGGAATTTCTGGCACGTTCCGTTGCCATTAATCCTCAAATTCACACCGCTAGTTCCAAAATAGCCAAATAGCTCGCTTTTCTAGGTGCAGCACTGTCTCCCCAGACAACCTTTATAGCCAGCGAACCCCGGCGAGTTGTAAACAACAACCTCATTTGGCGGCCGTGTGCTTTCCCCATTCCCCCGATTCTCGCAAAACCAGGTGACCATGGCGGACCGCTCGGCCGCCGACCGGGCCTGCAAGGACCCCAACCCCATCATCGACGGGAGGAAGGCCAACGTCAACCTGGCCTACCTGGGGGCCAAGCCTCGAGTGATGCAGCCAGGTAGGAAGCCACATTGGACTCGGGTGTAAGGTTGCCTTGCCAAATGCGGTACTGCAAATAGTCTCAGCCCTTATTTGATTTGTTTGTATGCGTATCCAGGCAAATCACACCCTAAAAACTGCAAATGATTGTGTCCTAGCCGGTATTTTCCTTATTTTGGCAAAACAACTTAAAAACACTTTAAGGGCAGCCTTTGAACCCGACAAGTTGTAAGATTGTTTTGCCAACCCCAGTGCCGCGTCGATGCAGAGCCATTGTGCAAATAAGTCTGTTTTAGGTATTATATGAATTATTTTTGTGTTTAATTCTTTAAAAATATGTATTTTAACAAGTCAGTGGTTTACTCTATATGTCAGTGGTGTCAAACTCATTTTTTGTCGCGGGCCACTTCAGAGTTATGGCTTCCTTCGGTGGGCCGATGCAAAATCTCATCGTTATTTATTACCCATGACGATTTGACATTTCGATACAGATTTGAGCAAGAATCATGATAGTTGACACACATGATTTGCTCCCGCGGGCCACATAAAATGACGTGGGGGGGCCAGATCTGGCCCCCGGGCCTTGACTTTGACACCTGTGCTATATGTGTAAGATTGTTTTGACGATCCGAGTCGCGTGTTTCGCAGACTGGTGCTGCAAATGATTTTTTTCTTGGCAGCGGTTATTGTATTTATTTTTGTATTTTGTATTTAGGCAAAGAAAACCTTAAAACACTACATGGGCCTATTTTACTAATTTACTGTTTTAAATTTGCAAGGTGTAAAATTCTTTTACCAACTCCTGTTTCAAATCGACCAGAATTGTGCTACAAATAAATTAGTCTTAACTGTATCCCACCAAAAACTTTAAATCATTGTTCTAACTCAACAATTTTTTTTTTTTTTTGGTTGGGGGTGTAAGATTGTTTTGTTGACCCCAATACCACGGCAGCTAGTGGAATACAGTATTGGAATTCTTCGTGTCTCAAACCATGATTTTATTTTGATGTGAGTTAGACAAAACGCGAATTCAGGGCGTATTTGACTAATTCATTATTTTGCCTTTACAAGGTTTAGTACAAGTATGTAAGATTGTTTTGCCAGTCTCATTATTTGGTCTAACTGTGTCTTAACTCTTTTGTTTTAAATGGATATATATGTAAATCAACACCAATCACCAACACAGGTCTATTTTACGAATTGACTGTTTTAACTCACCAAGGTGTGAGATTGTTTTGCTGAATCCGGTCGTGGAGTGGTAAGGCGAATAATCGTATCTTATTTATTTGTATGTGTATTTAGGCAAAACACACCTGAAAAACCCCCAAGCGGCATATTTTAATAAGCTAATATTTGAACTCCTCGAGGTTCCTTGTGTAAGATTGTTTTGCTAACCCTGGTGTTCAATCCAGCAGACCGTTGTTGCAAATAATTGTGTATTTATCATCAATCTCTTAATTTTTTGTGATCGTTTCAGGAAAAAATAATTTACAGACATTTTAAGTTGGTCATACACTAATTGGTCTGTTTGAAATTGACAGGTTTTACTTTTGGAGTTCCCCAAATTCACCCTGCATTCATCCAAAGGCCTTACGGGTAAGTCCTCACTGCTCCATCTGTCACAACTGGAAATTGAAATTTAGAACTCGAGGAAAAAAAAATCTCTCACAATATAATTTTTTAAGGAATTAAATCAGTCTGATTTTATCTCCCAAAAATATTTTGAGGTTTGTTTTTTCCAAATTTTTTCTTTTTTTTAGTTTTAATTCCGAAAGATAACTTACTTTCTAGATAATAAATCTCATTCTACACCACTATTAAAAATGTCGTATTTATTTTTTTATAAAGGCGTGTTTTAATTGTTTTTCCTTTCAAGGCAACGACTGTCAGACTGTTACATGCTACCGACAAGAAAAAAAAAAATTGTCGGGCGATAGACCGCACGTATGTGTGTGTCTATATGTATATTTAGACAAATGAATTAGAATCTTGTAAAACTGGACTTAAGCTGCCTGTCATAGGTTTTTGCAATTTGAGGGTGCGTGTGTGGAGTGGACAGTGGTGTGTGTGCGTGTGCGTGTGCGTGCACGTGTTTTTCTCTCTCTGGTCCGACAGCTAAGCTTTGTGGGCTAATTGAAAAAGCATAGAATCTGAGAAAAGGGCGATGACAGCCGCATGTACGTGCTTTTGATTTCATTTCCTTCTTTGGAGTTCGATGAAGTGGTGTTGTTAGCTTCCAACTTGTGTGCTTGTCTCGTGTCACGATAGCCTCATAGTTGGATTGCTGAAGTTTTTGGGGTGTTTTCTGTGTGGTTTCAAATCTTTTTTGTTGTTGTTGAAAAAACCTGCTAGCGGTGCGCTCTTTGCATCTTCCTGTTGTTATGAGGAGATTACCACTCCACCCCCCCCCCCTTGTCGTGCTTTTCATTATTTCTGTGTTTTTGTGTGTGTGTGTGTGTGTGTGTGTGTGTGTGTGTGTGTGTGTGTGTGTGTGTGTGTGTGTGGACAAAAGTTGCAAACAAATCTCTCTCTCTCTCTTTTGCTCTCTCTTATTCTTATTTTCTCCGATGGATGGATGGATGGAGCTTTTTGGTCACATGGTGTGCTGGGTGTTAACGAAAACAAGCGCGCCCATTGTGGTCGCACAAAGCCCCGAATGCTGACACTGCAGTCGCATGAAGCTAAGTGTGTGTGTGTGTGTGTGTGTGTGTGTGTGTGTGTGTGTGTGTGTGTGTGTGTGTGTTTGCAAGGATCTCTCTCGTTCATGCAGTAAAAAATGGCCACGGCCTTTTGAGTAGGGTCTCGCTAGACACTTGATTAGGCACTTGCACAATCATAATGCAGCCCCAGGATAATAATGCCAGTTTTTTTTGTTTGTTTTTTATGTTAATTGTATTGATTTCACTACATTACGGCAGTTGTGCATTCGTGCCCTGTCGCTCATTCCAAATTTTATGAGTTGTGGCTTCCCGTAACGTCGTCCTGCTGATTTGCATTAGCACCACTCTCAGTTTGTCACAAGAGGGTCGGATGCCGTTTCCGAAGAGTGTCCAGTTAGAAGAGAGAATACACAACGCCCTCTTCAGTCCTACCTTGTCTTTTTATTTCTGGGCCGGCGATTAGTGAACCTCCGCCAAGGCTGAACAGTGAACTTTTTCCAACCTTGACACAGAATGCCGATACAAAGTCGACCTTGCGATTTTCCACCTTTGGAGGTGGTGTCAGAGTAAAACTTTTGCAGACAGCACGAAAGGGGTTTTAACACACTGGTTGTAACTGAATCAAATGTGAAACCAGTGTGAGCTCACTCTGGCTTTGAAGTCCGTGAGGAGACCCTGTTAGGGCTTTCGATGGGCCGGGATAAGTCTACGTCCTGGAGGGCAGAATGTGTTCATTGTTCAGAGTTGTTGATTTAATCAAAACATCCCCCCTGTGAGCCCCCCGCCCATGTCCCGCCACTCCGCCTCCCCGCAACCTCTATTTGAAAACTGTCCAGCTGTCAAAGTGGCGCTGACATTTTCACAATGCCGCGCTGGGGCTCATCGCCTGCGTCCCAGACTCGGACACCACCGCTGTAAGCCGACCCTAAACCCCCTCCATTGCCCACCCGCAACCCGACCAAACCCCACCCCTACCTCCTCCTCCACCCACCCGATCATGTGAACCTGCAGGTCGCAGTCCACGTGCCAAAGCAACAGGTGGCGCTCTAAACCCCCGATAGCCATTTTGTCCAAACAGAACCCAAGACACGATGACAACAGGAGCTAAAAAAGCATGTCGATTCTTGAACCGGATTTGGTAGCTGGAATCCACTGACAAAGATACTGTGTATGTCAAGTTTCTCAATGGCCAGTTGTGGTCTTGCTCAGCTTGTCTGTAAAATCCGGTTTTGTAAGGAGCCCTGTCATGATTAACAGAACCCTAGAGATGCCGCCGTTCCGTTGCTCTGAATTTGAGGTCAGCACAACTTTTGACGAGATTGTAGAAGGTAAAGACGTGGAGGTGAATGTCGTCGCGTCACATCAATTTTGGGGCGGTGGGGCGGTGGGATGACGACTCTGGATTACATATGATATAATCAAAGTATGTGGCGCGATCGTGATTAAAGATGGCACTGTCGCTGACGAACTGATTGACGGACCGCATGCAAAAAAAGCCGCATAATAGGGGCCTATTCTTCTGTTCTTGAAAGATCCGTCAAAATGCTCTAAAACGGCTTGCAACATGGGGAACGCCACTTGGGAAAACAATTTGCCGACAATTGCTTTCAACGCAAAAGGGCAGGAGAAATGAGTGTCAGCTGTCAAACTTCACACCCTGGTGCCGGCTTTCCGCTACCCCCTTTCACACTGCCTTCCCGCTTCTTTTAGCACAGCAATACAGGCTGGTTGAAAGGAGCGTCTGTTTCTGGTTGTGTCCTTTCGTCCATTCTCTTTTTGACAACCTGACTTCCTGCTTGGCATTGTGGCGTTCCTCTGATGGCGATCAGGCTTAGCTAACCCTCTGGTTTTGTCCCGCAGCATCCCGGCGCACTACGTATACCCTCAGGCCTTCGTGCAGCCCAGCGTGGTGATCCCGCACGTGCAGCCCACCGCTGCCGCCGCGCCGGCCCCCGCCACCTCCCCGTACATCGACTACACAGGAGCAGCCTATGCTCAGTACTCTGCCGTTAGCGCGGCGGCGGCGGCGGCGTACGAGCAGTATCCCTACGCTGCCTCCCCAGCCGCTGCAGGCTACGTGACCACCGCCGGGTACGGATACGCGGTTCAGCAGCCTCTTGCCGCCGCCGCCCCGGGCTCTGCGGCAGCGGCCGCCGCCGCCGCCGCTGCCTTTGGCCAGTATCAGCCTCAGCAGCTGCAAACCGACCGCATGCAATAGCAGGAACAGGAATTGGATTCCGGATGCTGTGCTTCGACCAAAAACAAGAAAAACGTCGCCGTACAAATATGATGATGATCATTGTTTTAGTAGCTTATATCTAGAGAGGAACTGCAGGAACTAATCCCTGTTACTTAAGTCCTGTTGCTGTCTTTTTCTTTTTTTTTTTTACCGTAGGGCTTATTTTGTATATTTATTATTGTCACACACACTGAGGGTTGTTCTTTTTTTTTTTTTTTTGTATAATCAGGGAAAAAAAAAATTTTTTTTTACCGTAGGGTTTTTTTTTTTTTTTTTTTTTTTTTTCTCTCTTTGTGGGGGTTTTTTTTTTTTTTTTTTTTTTTGTATAATCAGGGAAAAAAAAAGAAGCTGTTTTCAGCGTGACCTCCTGTCGGGACTTTTGGGACGGTGTCCTTGAAGGCCACCCCACCCCTTTTTACCTATGCAAAGCTAAAACAGAAACAAGTGATAATAACTTGGAGACTGTGATGGAAAACAAGGCGGAGCTATATTGAAAGGGTGTGGCAAGGGTGCTGACCCAGATGAATCTCTTTGTAATAGGAATGTATCGCTGGTAGCTCCGAAAAATTGAGCCGTCACATTGTTTTTGAGAGGGGTGACCAACTTTATTGGGCAACCCACCAAGCCCGCCAGTCGCTTTTGTTTCAGCACAAAGCTACCCTGCTGCTGCCTGCTTCCAGGTGTAAAGTGGGCTGTTTTACCGCGGGACATCTTCTGTAGGAGGGGCGGACGACTATAATGTGGAGCTGGGGCCCAAGGAGGGGCAGGGTCCCGGCACGAGCCTCCAGATCGGTCAACCTGGAACAGGAACCTATTACTTGTTGCTTATTGGTTGAGCTCTGACCTTTTGGTCTCCCAGCTGGGCCCCAATTTGGTGGCATCAGAGTTGTACGAGGCCACCTTACCAGTCCCACCACCCCAGTGTGCCGTTCCACTGCTGATCAAGCAAAAAAACAGATTAGAACCTCTTGTAGGGACATTTGGGGGGGGGGTACCTTTTTAAGCACCCCTCTTGACCTATGCAAAGTACATCAAATCAATGAAAATGATGAGAAAGGAATATTGTAGACATGAGCAAAATCATATTGTGAGCACACAGCTGTTGGGAGGGACGGGTGGCTATAATCCCACACCCAGGGTGGGTGGTGGTCATGATTTTTGGGGAGACAAGGTTCAGAGACCCC